ATCTGCCTGTTCTGCTCCCTATTCTGTCACTGGTGAATCCTCTCACCACCCTGTACCTCTAGCCTGTACCCCAGTTCTGTATGCATAAATAAATAAATCTTAAAAAAAAAAAAAAATAGAGATAAAAGGACCCTCCCTCGTGGCACAACAGGTAAAGGATGCAGCACTGCAAGCTAGCTGCCGGCCACTTCAGTGCAAGCTCGATCCCTGGCCCTGGAGGTGACTCACATGGCATTGCAGACCCCTCCTGACCCACCTGCTGCTCCCCACAATGTCTCTGGTGAATCCTCTCACCGCCCTGAAATAATAATAAAAAAAAGACTAGAGATATAAAAGGATATGGGGTTTAAGTGAATGCTGTGATGTTTCTGTTGCTGACATTGGGTAGACATACCAGAACAAGAAATCATTCTCAAGTATTTAATTGAAATCCATGTAGCATTTAACATGTATAGATGCCCAAACTCTTTGAGCAACTTTTGTTTTAAAATTCTTTTGCACAACATTTTGAGGCTAAATACATGCTAGAAATCTATAAATGTACAACTTAACATAAAAATACATTTGGAGTTCATTTCAATGCAAGTTAAAAACATTTCAATTGCAGACAATGCAAAGGTATTTAAAAAAAACTACAAAATGAGCACATAAAAGTCTTCCCTTTTGAACTTTTAATAAAATACTGCTCTGTATAAGATCTAATGAAAAATTCCAGTTACTTATAAAAGTTATGTGAGAAATGAATTTATATATGAATTACATTTAATTATATTTTCAAATGAACAAGATGTTGAATACATTAATGATACACCACAATAATACTCATATCAAGATAGATGAAAACATTCAAAAGATCAACTGGTTGCGGACAAGAAAAAAATATAAGAGATTTGAGGGGGTAAGGGGAAGTCCCAAATAGAAATTGTCTCTTCACTGTAAGAGGAAGGGGAAGAAAGGAATAAAAGAAACTTTGTACTAAATTCTTATTCCTATTACTTTATGAGAAATGGTAAGAGAATTTTGCTTCAGATTATTAAAACATCTATAGAAACTTAATTTGGCTTAAGTAATTTAATAGTATACCAACTGCTGAGCTCATTAATAGAAATGGATGTGCTGTTGGAAGAAATTAACTTTTATAGGCTTAACTATGTAAAACATTGGAAACCAGAGTCTCCATCACAAATTGCACTTGAGATGGCTAAACGCATTGAGCAAGGCATTATTGTTGGTTCACTGACATACATACACATATACCCCCACACAAAAGCAGCAATGGATTGCTGACATTCGTAACTACCAAAATTATTTTATACATTTTTCTTCTCTCTTTAAAAGAAGCTGTGATGTCTGAGTTAACTCAGTACAACAGTGAAATTCTATCAACCTGGACCTATAGCCGTCTGTTTCAACACTGTCTCGATTCTCTGTGGGAAGAAGCAGAGGGCTGAGGGGAGTATGAACCAGGCCAGTCTGAAAAAAATATTCTATTTCTGAAATTTTAAGCCTTATTCTGACTGGGAAAGCTTCTATAAAAAAAGGACTATTTCATGACAAAGCTTATAACATGTACAAAAAGAATACTGCCAATTTGACCACTATCACTTTCCCTAGAAAAAAGATAAATTCTATTTTTTTTAGATACATAGAGAGAGAATGGCTGCTACAGTTATTTCATTCCAATAAGTTAATTCTTTCCTATAATAAAATCACAATTTGGAAGCAAGATGGTGTTATGAAATATAGTACAGTAAGCTCAAAAGCTGAGAAATTGTACTCATTTGCTTCAAAAACACATGCTCTGAACGAGATAAAGCATGTTAGAACATATTTCAATGGACAGCTCCAGCTATGTTAAGAATTTGACAGTCATTATGAAAATTTATGATTCATTAATGGAAATTATGATTTAAAAGTGAGTGATAAGAAAGACTCTAGAGTTTATCTATTTCCTTGAGCTAGAAAGATTAATTATAGTTTGAAATGCAGTGATTAGATATGCCAGAACTGGTTTCCTTCTTTTCAACCATCTCCATTTCTTCCCCCTCTTCTTAAAACTAAGAACACAAATTAGTTTGGAACTACTGGCCTAAAAGCAAAGCCAGTATCTGATCATAGAAAAAGGGGGAAAAATGCAAACAATAAAAAAAAGTACATCAAGAGTTCCTTATCCCTTCCAGTAAGGAAAAACAATCTTATCTCTGTAATTTTGTGTACTCTGAGTTAACTTTTGACCTTTACAGATAGCTGAATAAGCTGCTCATGGGACAGATTAAATGAACTGCTTTTAATAAATTTCTATAAACCTAAAAAATTAACAACTTTTTAGTTCTAGAAGTACTTATCCCTCTGAAAAGCAGGAAAAGTCTCAAACTGAAACCAAAATACACAAGTACCTTCATGCAAGTAAGTCAGATGTTTAAGACATTAGCCTGCATGATGTTTAAATCAATACATCCTATCTGCTAAGTTATAAAACCCAGGTAATATAGGAAAGTGTGAAAAGAAAACAATGAGCATAGAAGGGTAAATCTTCAAAATTCACTTAATTCAGTTAAAAAAAAGAAAGAAAGAAAACACTTACCCAAAGAATATTCAGAAATGTTTCTGTGAGAAGGCTTAAATAGATATAACTGCTCTGGTTAGATGACGCATGAGACAATTGGACAGTCTGATTTTCTGTGCCTCATTACAACTCAGTTTTCAGAGAAAGCCTGCAGCTGATGGGCATTATTTCTAACTGTTGGGGTGGTCTGACTGTCCCATCCAAAAAGAAAAAATGTAAGTTTGCTACAGTCCAACTGTTTTTCAGAGGTACACTAACCTCTACCGGGCGAGATAATCAGTAGATCCAGTCTCCTGAGATTCTGATAAGCGCCTCTACCTCAATGTCCTCCATCGGGAGGGCACATCTATCATCTTAGCCATACTTGAAACAGATTTACAAAGAGAAAAGAATATAGGTAAGTGCCTGACCTATCTAAGTATTGTGGATCTCTCCCCTATTTTGATCCCTCTTCAATCTTGAACTTTAGAAGAATATGTTTTAAAAAAGTGAAGGAACAAAACACTTTTGCTGCCTGTCCGTAAGAATTGTCAGCTTGCTGTGCTTGAACACTGGGGAAATATCCTAATGAGCTCAGTGGCACTATGCTTACTGGAATTTCTCTTGGAGTTTTCAGAGGATGGCATGTGCTCTTTCATCTCTGCTCTCCTTGAGAAGTGGGTTATATACTGTTTACAGAATGGCCACAAAAAAGTGAAGAGGGAGGCAATTCTTGAATGTTGCAGTTTGTAGTTACATCGAGTGAAAAGTATTATACATTGTAGTAGTAACATTGTCACTTCTTTGGGTACTGTATTTCCCTAATAGATGCTTCCTTTCAAGATCAAATTTGTGAGACATAAGGACAAACACTGAGAATTACTTGAGCCTCATCACTGAAACAGATAAACATTCCCAGTAAGGAAATGTTAGGAATCCAACATATGAACCTAGAAATGTAATAGAAAATAAAGTAACAAACTCACGTGACTAATAAATGACAGATAATGAACATTTATCTCTGGTAAACTAAAGGCACTACTAATATATAAATATCCTATTAATAATTACAGAAACTCTGGAATCAGCAGTTAGAGAAAGGAATCCATTTAGTTCGGTATCACCACTTTTGAAAACAAATAGACTACTTTAAGATTTATGGCAGAGTTTTCAATAAACTAAATGAAACTGGATATAATAATAAGCAGCTCCATATAAAGATTGTAGTTCCTACCTTTTAAAAGTATGATAACTTACTTCTTTAAAAAATATAAGCATATCACAAAAACTAAAGGATAAATAGATATCTCTGTGTGTGTGTGTGTGTATATATAACTATATATACATGTAAAAACTCAGGCCCTAGTACCACTGAGAAATTTTCATAAAATCTAAAGTAATTTCAACAGCCATTGCTTAAACAATGCACAACCACACATGACATGCAAACACAAAATGCTAGTCACTGACAGTTCAGCATAAAACTAAATGTACAAAATAAGAACGGGGCAGGTATTTGCCATGTAGATAATATATATCACAAATTTTGTGCCTATATTATAGCTTACCTTGGAATTTTAAATAAGTTAGAATTTCATCAGTTCCAGGAAGTACAACACATGGGCCAATAGTGGAACTCTCATATATGTTTAAGTAAGCAGGTAAAATGCTATATAAGAGATTAACACAATTTATTTAACAACATGATTAATATTTTATATTTTATTCCATTAGATTAATTTGAATCACTGTACCCTGTCGATTTTGAAACTTTTATTACAAATTACTAATGCTGGTTCATGAATAATTTAAAAAATTTAATTACTCAAATCTAGATTGCTATTCATAGTTCTAAGCAGTTAAGTGAAATATTCTCATCGGTATTCTAAAGTTGCTTTGGTACAAAATTTAGAGTAAAGCAAAACTTGCAGCACCACAACAAGTGTGATCATTTCACAGCAGATCTAAAGGAACCTCAAAGATAACAGGACATAAATTAAAACAGTTATAAATAAAAGCTATTTTCTTGACAATTCTGCTACATCATTAAAAAGAAATAAAATCCACATTCATCAAATTATGCTTGAGTTCCAATTTTCATGCTCCATTTAATTATCCCTCAATGATAATGTAAAAATGTTTATTGCAATATAATGTCTAATTCATAGTTCAGGATACTTTGACAGATGAGGCCAATGGTTAGAGTGGCACATTTTAATGCTTAGTCCACTATTATTATTATTTAGTATTACTACACTGACATACAAAGTTTAGTCTTTTTTTAAACAGCTTTATTGAGGTATAATTGATGTAAACCAAACTGTACATATTTAAGATGCACAATTTGATAGCATGAAAAGTACCCAACAACTAAAAAAATTAAAAAATTTTTCAATTGAAACACATTCTAAAATAACACACTCTAATCTTTTATGAGACACAAATATGGATTTATAAAAAGGTGAGTGGGACAGGAAATAAATTAATTTAATTCCAGGTAGTAAAGGAAATAAATTAATTTAATTCCAAGTACCAAATTTATTCAGAAGGTTTAGAAGCGCCAAAATTGACAGCCAGTTTTCTTGATTTTCTTCTTGAAGAAGAGCTTGGTGTTGACTTATGATGAGACACACTCTGGCCTTGAGAGGCAGCTTCAACTTGAGAAGATGATGCAGGTGGAATAATCTGCGGAGACTTTAAGGAGGATGAACTCTCCTGTGGAGTTGCTTTGGCAGCATCAGAAGATGACCCTGGCTCACTCATTTTAAGTGGGGTGGCTTGAGAACTCTGGGCCTCCTTATTCTCCAAGTTCTTTTTGCTTGCAACTCTTTTTTTAGTAACCTTTAAGGAATAAAAATCATCATGAACAATGCAGGCAAAAGAAGCTACAATCAGAAAATACTACAAATTATGCTGCTAATGTTTGTCAACTGTTGCTGACTCGTGAATTCCTCATCTAATTTCCAAACCAGACTTTAGAAATTTAAGGAATTTAGTTATATTTAAAGCCTCTTATATAGCTCAAATATAAAGAAAATATATATGCCTGTGTTAAAATCACTTTGTGTTACCAAAAAATTATTTATTTATTTTGCATAGAAGAGTTGGGGCACAATCCAGAGGTGAGAGGGGTTGGGAGGGGGAGGAGAGGATTCACCAAAGACAGAGTGGGCAGCAGAACAGGCGGTCTACTGAAACACATTGCTGAGAGGAGCAGCTGGCAAGCCTGGAGTGATCTGCTGTGCCATGGTGGGTTAGATCCCTGGCCAGGGATCTATCAGTGGTGATAGCACTGAGATTTAATCGGTAGGCTACCAGCCATTGTAATAACTAGAATACAAAATCAGATAGTAGGGTTCAGGTCAGACTGTTCATCACAGGTCATAATATGTAGTCAATACACTGGGTAGGCCAGTACTAGGTTACTAGCTGGCAGTGAATAAGCCATTATTGAATAGACATTTTATCAATTGTCTTCGATGATTAAAATTCTACTAGGGATAATAATTCTCTTTCCAGGTCTTACCTGTAGTGGTATAAACTGATTGTGCATGCCACCTGGCACTGCCCCAGACATGGGCAGGCTCCCAGAATATGAAGTATGATGGAAGGGCTTTGCAGGAACTGGCACTGGTGGTCCCCAGGGCATTGAACCAAAGAGATGAGATGATGAAGGCATTATATTAGCTGTTAAAAACATGGATTTTTTTTTTTTTTAGTAAGATAGTATCACCAAATCCCTGGAAATTTAGGACCTTCTTCTGCTACCATTTTTTACTTTTTTTTTTTTTTTGCCTTGACAGAGGGTACACACTTGACATGATTAATCTTGTATAGAACACTCAACTTTATAAACCCCCCACAGGATGTGAATGATAGACAGAAGTCAACTTATTACGTTGTCTGTTCTACAAAGACAAGTAGTACTATGTACTGATACGAACTTTAGGAATATTTGTACTAATGATTAAACAACGGGGGGGGGGAGGTATGAAACTATACTTGGAGGAGAAAAGCATGGGCACAAAGAGAGAAATCTTAAGGATCTCACCTGCCCCCAATGCTAAGTTGCTTCCATAGTGATCCCAGCCTACAAGAAAACCAAAGAAGCTCAAGTATTAAAGTCTGATCACTTTCATATGACAGAATCTTTCTTTCTTTCTATTTTAATACTTACAATTCAAGGAATTTATAAAAATTTGACATTTGTTTTCTACTAAAGCATACTGAACCAGTGGTTTCCAAATCTGATTTCTATATCAAGTAGGGTGCTTATGAAATACAGATTACCTGGGCAGTGGCTTAGCCTTAGTAAACCAGACTTGAATGCACCCAGGAACACGTATTGCTAACAAGCTCCACAGGCGATTCTCATGGAGAAAGTCAATACCAGTACAGTATTTAGGAACTATTCATTAAACCATGACCACCATATTGCCACTGAAGAAGATATGTTCTGTGTTCAAACCTTTTCAGAAAGAGAAAAGGCCAGTCAGACCTATAAATTAATATAGCTTCATTAAAATGCAGCAACTAAAGGAATTTTTGGATGAGGAAAGAATAATCATAACATATTTTAGTGTTATGAATCACACAAGCACAAATTCCAGGATGAAGAAAGCTTTTAAAATTAGTCCTTGGTACCATCTATAAGCAAACGTGGTGGTAGTTATAATATTTAGTAAATCTATATGAAAGACCTTTTCATTTTGTATTTTAATTGAAACAAGGAAGGCAACTACTACAAGATCAAATTCTTAACATTCTTTAAATTACTGGTAGGTATGAATAAGCTAATAAACACGGTACAATAATGAACATAAATATAATAACATAAATGACAAAAATATCAAGTTGTAAGCAATACATGTGAAAAACAATCATTCCTTTTAGAGGACATCTTCTTATAAGATAAATTCTTTTTAGAGAATCCTGTGGACATACCTTTAGGTAGCCTACATATTCTAGTTACTTCAAAATTTTATGTATAAAAACTGGGTTCACTTTCAAAAGGAGTGTCAGTATAGTAGCAAAGGCACGAGCTTTGTAATCATAATTTGTTTTGAATGATAGCTCTGCTATTCAGAAATCCATGCCCTACACAATTACATTTTTTTTCAATTACCTTCACTACTTGCCCTGTCCTCCCAATATAATTACACTATACTATTTGTTTAAACATATGAGCAATGTTTGTGCTTTGTGACTGTGTGCATACTGTGACTACAAAGTCAAGTATGGTACTCTGTTATTTTCTTGTAAAACCTTTTCTTTTCTTTTCAAAGTTCTCTAGTCTTCTATATACCTACCCTTAATGTTTTTCCAAATGTTGCCCACATAGCTGATAATTCTCTTACTTTCCACAACCTCCCTTTGTGCTTCCAGTTGGGATTTACTTTTAATACCTGTAGCATTCTGGGACTTTCATTTACTACTTAAGCATGCTAGACTTCTTTGGCTTGGTTTCATGGCTTTTCTTCTTTTTCTTTTTAAAACTACTGCTTTGTTTTGCTAGAAAAAATCCTAAGAAAGGGTGCATGAGAAGTAAATATGCATGTCTGAAATGTCTTTATTCTACCTTAGCACTAGAGTAACAATATGGTTATTCAGAGAAATCTAAGACAAAACTAACCTTGCCTTGGGATTCAGAGGTATCAATGTTCATTTGCTGTCTAGCATCTAGCCTCCGCAATACCATTCCGATTTTTGATCTTTCATATGTATTTCCCTTTCTTCTCTGAACTCAAGGATCATCTCCGTCACTAATACTCTGCATTTCACTGAATTTCAAGGCAACCTGTGTTTCTTTCCATTCTTTGTGCTACATATTTGATGGTGATTTCAGACTAGAGATACATGTGCTTTACGAGGAGGAAATGTTCATATCTGATTTAACACTTTCCTCATTTTCATCATCTCTGGTCTCTTTTTCTAGAACCACTAGATGAATGTTGTGTCTATGTACTGTTTCTCTAAATGTCTCCCCTTGCTTATTTTCCATATTTTTAAATCTATTATTCCTAGATTTTTTTTGTAGGCTATGCTAGGTCTTTTCCTATAAAATTTAAAGAGTTTGACTTAATTTTCACTCTCCACTTATTTTTTTCATGTTCTTTTTCTATTTTTTTTTTTTTTTGGTTCAATACTATTTTGTTTCACAAAGAATATTAACTATAACTTGTTTGAAGTCTCTTTATTTCCCACATAATCTTTGTTTTCAGGTTCCTTTCATTTTTATTTGTTCTGAATCTCTTGGAATTGTGAGGAACAATGTGTTCATCAGCTCATTTGTATCTTTTTTCTACAGATACTTAAGTTTGTAGTTTATATCTGTTCTGCTAAATTGGCTACTTTTCATTTTTTTTTTTTGGTTACTGCTTTTTCCATTACTTTTCTCGCCTTTCATCTCTTCAATTTACTGATATTTCTTCTCTCATTTCTTTCAAAATATTTACTATTTAATTTATCATAGTTTAGGCAGAGAAGAAATAACTTGTTTAATTAGCTATCTTAACCTTTCTAATGTTTGAGAACTACTCGATAAATAGAACCCCTGAAATAATACTTAGCATGTAACACACACACACAAAAGCAACCTTCTAAACTTGAATTACATTATACATTCAAAAATGGTAATATTGAGGATATTAAGAAGAGTAGCTATTAGGAAAAAAGGAATAGAATGGAGATGATAAAATGTTTAATGAACTTAAGACTTAGAATAATAATTACAAAATTATTATTTTGTAGTCTCAAAGTGACCCTGAGTATAGACTACTATAAATGAGAAAATGGAGTCCAAGGAAAATACATGATTTTTTCAAAATTAGTCAATAAGAGAGCCTAAACAAACGAAAGACTTGTTCTACACTGACCTTTTCATTCCCCTAGCACATTAAGAAGTCATTAACTAGCTACAGGAAAGTTACTTGCTTGATAAGCCAGGTATTATGTTTGAAAGAAGAGGCCAATTTTAAGGGAGTGTAAGAAACACAGTAAGCTTATAAACCCTTTTTCATCAAGGGCAGTTTCTTTCACAACTACAGCTTTAGAACCATACATGCTTACTATTTGCTTCACTTGTCTCTCAAGCCCCAACCTGTACCAACTTGTGTATCTGATGTCTAGCAAACCCAGATTCACTTGGTGGTAGCTAGTGGGGGAATGAGGGGCTGCCCAGAAAAAGAGAACCATTCTACTCTAGCTATAATAAAGGTTTTTAGGAGGGAATGGCATTTTCTAGAATAATGTGTAGGTTCCAGTTTCATATTTACTACTCATAATTCGTAATTCCTTGTTATATTCTTACCTATCTAGATATTTTTTCTCCTCAATATGATGTTTCTTTAAAGAACTTTCTAAAAATTACTCACTAACAAATATACATATATATATAAACACAGTATCTTACCAGTAGGTTGGGGAAAAACTGGAGGAATTGTTCCAGGAGGTACAGTAGGAGGATAATTTGGGAATATTGGTGGAGGCAAAGGGAAATTCACTCCTAAGGATCCCTACGGAGATATTAAAAAGTTATAATACAACAAAAACATCTATAGAGAGTAATTAAAAATTTAGTAGGGAAGTGATGGATATTTCTTACCAATTGTTGTAAAGCAAAAAGTGCAGCTTTTTCCTTGGCTTCACTTTCAGAATGGCACTGTGGTCCATGTACCAGTAAACCATTTGATAATTTCACCTGGCAAACTGTCATTGTCTGAAAAAGAGAATATCTATGAAGTAACATATTCAGAAATTCACCGAATCCCCCCAAATCATAATCTAAACAAACAGAATAATTTTAATAATAATAACTTCAAGAATGTAAGGGACCTGATCAATTAGAGTTTGAGTTACCATTGCAAAAACTTTTAGAGTCATTGCCTTATTTTTCAACATTTATAAAATGCTCTGAAAGTTACCTGAAAGGTCAAGCAGCCTACTAATGCAAATTAAAATTGGCCAAAATTTTTTCTTTTTGCTCAGGATTAAGAAACTAGGTCTACCACTTGTTTCATTAAGGAAGGTTTTATTGTAGTGTAACCAAACTCATTCTACTAGTATGTATTAGATAGCTGTCTTCATACTATTATTGTGGAATTCAATAGTTGTGATAGAGGCCAATTGGCCCACAAAGCTTAAAACATTTAGTATCTCATTCTTTGCAGAAAAAAAGAAATTACTAAAACTCCAACAATTCAGAAGTTCTGACAGATTTTATATTCACACTTAAATTATAACTTTATAATACACTTCTTTTTTCTTTTACAAAGATTTTTGAAATACTTACATATCCAAAAGGTAACCAGTTTTTATGTAATATTATGTATATTTCATAAGCTTATTTCTGCTTTCTATTTTGGGCAAGAACACAGACAATTTGGATGTGAAGAGGATAGAATGACCTTTCTGGGTGAAGCCAGTGGACCCTCAAGGGATTGTGTGAGGACAACAGAAATCCCTGAGGCCCTTTCCAGGAGTCTTTGAGTCACATTTTTTTCATTATGTTAACATGTTATTTGGCCTTTTCACTCTCATTTTCTTACAAGTATATCGAAGACAAAAAGTTTACAACACAGTTTCAGATTACACATAGCAACCAGCTTTCAAGAAAATTCTGTGTTTTAATGTAGTATCAAAGAAAATCCACAGCTATTAACACTCTTTTTCGAAGCTAGCTATGTGTGAAGTCAGGTTTTCTTCATATATTTAAAACAAAAAAAGTACCATGGTACCACAAGAGATTGATAGTAAGAAGGAGGACTATTTGTGCTCTGGTGGTGGGAGAGCTGTGGTGACCACTACTGAGGGAAGAAATCTTATACTGTGAAAAAAATCAACAAAGATGTAAAATAATAGTAATTCATTAAAAACTTTCTATAGATTAACAAAAAGATTGTTTGGCAAAGGGTCAGAAAAATATTTTTAAAAAAAGGAGGAAGGGGTTCCTGAGACCAAAATGTCTGAAAATTGCTGCTGTAGATCAAATTTCCTAGCTCTAGCAAGTCTAAAAATTTTCACCAGACAGTCTGTTGCCGAGGTTCTTCTTATGAGGGTTCTGGTTATGAACATCCAGGGTGAGAAGTATAAATCTATGCAGCTCATTAAAAAAAAAAAAATCAGCTTCATTATGTTATTTATAGCCAAACATTTTCAGTTAATTTATTTAAGTTTAGTGTTAAAGAACTTATGTAAATAGAACAATAGTATAACATACCTGTGCTGTTCTAAGAAAGGAGAAATCTGGTTGCAGCATTCCAACAAGGGAACAAATTCGAGAAAGTTCAGTTACTGGTGTAGACACAGGAGGGATCTGGCTGGGAGCAGGCCAGCACACATTGTCCACAGACTGAACATTATGGTACTCACTAGCACTGTGAGGCTTATTAATATAAGATGCTACCAAAAAGAGGGAAAAGGACATATCTTATTAAAGGATATCAGAACTATGAAGTTATTGTAAGGTTGCAAAAAGTAAATTATTAAAAGGCAAAAAACCAAAAAATCTTCCACAAAACAAATGAAAGAACTTATTTCTAAAAATTACTAACAATTCAAAATTTCTGATGAACAATGATACATGATTATGATAAATATTTTAAACATAAGTAGCTTACTATCAAAAATTAACAACTTGAGAGATGACTCTATAGTGATGCTATGGGCTAAACCTGAACCACTCAAATTTTGAGAGGCTTTTTGAAATGATTTACAATTAATTATTAAGTTTTTAAGTTTTGGTTTCAATTTCCTCCAAATCCATCTTACATTCTAAGTCACTAGGATGAGTGTTTTTATTGCTCCAAAATGATGCTTTTTGAAAGGTTTTTCTTGGGATTTGCCAAAAATCCTAGAGCTTATTAGCTCTGCATTCTGTGTTCTTGACTCTAATGTATGTAAGCTGAAATAAAGTTACTTGTTTTGACAGTGGGATGTCTTATCCAGTTTTATTTTAAAATTTTATTATATTTCAAGAGTAGAACTGTCACAATGATAACTTCCTAATAACTATTGGAATTTTAAGTTAATTATCTAACCCAATATTGACTGGTATATAGAGGTAGGCTCTGATTTTGTTTAAGAATGAATTTTTTTTTTTAATTAAAGCTTTTCATTTATTTGTTCATACAGAACTGGGGTAGAGACCAGAGGTGCAGGGGTGGTTGAGAGGATCCACCAGAGACAGAGTGGGGAGCCAAACAGGCAGATCGATGAAACACATTGCTGAAGGGAACAGCCGGAGAGCAAGGAGAGGTCTGCTGAGCTATGTGGATCACCTGGGGGTGGGGATCTAACTTGGACTGAAGCAGCTGTAGTCAGCTTTGCAGTACTACACTCCAACCCACTGTGCTACCATGTAGGGCCCCCCTTTTTTAAAGAGATTTATTTATGCATACAAGAACTGGGGTATAGGCCAGAGATGTGGGGGGTGGGAAACTTTGAGAGGATTCACCGGAGACAGAGTGGGGAAAAGAACAGGTAGATTGACTGAAATATACTGCTGAGGGGAACTGCAGGCAAGCCAGGAGAGGTCTGCTGTGCCATGTGGGTCACCTCCCTGGCTGGGATCGAACTCATGCTGCAATGGCTATAGATAGCTTCATAGTGCTGTACTTTTTTTTTTTTTAAGATTTATTTATTTCCTCATACAGAACTGGGGTACAGGCCAGAGATGAGGAGGGTGAGAGGATTC